TTTTTTGAGACAGAGCCTCAAGCTGTCCCCCTCACAGCAACCTCCAACTCCTGGGCTCAAGTGAGTTTCCTGCCTCTGCTTCCCAAGTAGCTGGGACCACAGGCATCTGCCACAATGCCTGGCTATTTTTTGGTTGCAGCCATCATTGTTGTTTGGCAGGCCCGGGCTGGATTCCAACCCACCACTGTAGGTGTATGTGGCTGACACCTTAGCCACGTGAGCCACAGGCACTGAGCCTTTTTTTTTGAGACAGTGTCTAACTTTGTTGCCCCTGGTAGTATGATGTGGCATCATAGCTTACAGCAACCTCGAACTCGTGGGCTCAAGCGATTCTCTTGCCTTGGCCTTTTGAGTAGCTGAGACTGCAGGCACTTGCCACATTGCCCAGCTATTTTTAGAACCAGGGTCTTGCTCTAGCTCAGGCTGGTCTTGAATCTGTGAGTTTAGACAATCCACCTGCTTTGGCCTCCCAGAGTATTAGGATTACAGGCATGAGTCACTGTGCTGGGCCTAGAAGTTTTGTAAGAACTGAGAATTTTACATTTTTTCAAACTAATAACTTGTCACAAAAACTGAATTGGCAGACACCAACCTAAGGACTCTTCAGTAGGGTACCTAACCATTTTGTCCAGGACTGAAAGGCTCCCAGTGATACAAAGAGGAAGGTCTGGCTAGGCACCTATAGCTCAGCAGCTAGGGCACCGGCCACATACACGGGGCTGGCAGATTCAAACCAAGCTCAGGCCTGTCAAACAGCAATAACAACTACAACAACAAAAAAAAGCCGGGCCTTGTCACAGGCGCCTGTAGTCCCAGCCACTTGAGGCTAAGGCAAGAGAACTGCTTAAGCCCAAGAATTTGAGGTTGCTGTAAGCTATGATGCCACGGCACTCTACCCAGGGCAACATAGTGAGACTCTGTCTCAAAAAACAACAAATGGCTCTGCACCCATACACAGTGGTTATGGTGTTGGGCACATACATCTAGGCTGGCAGATTTGAACCTGGCCCAGGGCCAGCTAAACAACAATGACAACTGCAACAACAACAAAAAATAGCCAGGTATTGTGGTAAGCACCTCTAGTCCCAGCTACTTGGGAGGCTGAGGCAAGAGAATTGCTTAAACCCAAGAGTTGTAGGTTGCTGTGAGCTGTGATGCCACAGCACCAAGGGTGACGTCACTACCAAGGGTGACATAGTGAGACTATGTCTCAAAAACAAACAAACAAATAAGGTGGCGCCTGTGGCTCAAAGGAGTAGGGCACCAGCCCCATATGCTGGAGGTGGCAGGTTCAAAGCCAGCCCCAGCCAAAAACTGCAAAAAAAAAGAGGAACGTCCCAGACAAACAAGGATGAGTTATTACACTACTGTTTGTTCACTCTTGGAGGGTACTTATTTATTTAGTTTTGGCTGAGGCTGGGTTTGAACCCACCACCCTCGGCATATGGGGCCAGTGCCCTACTCCTTGAGCCACAGGGGCTGCCCAGAGGATACTTATTAATACTGAGGAAATAGGCTCGGTGCCTGTGGCTCAAACAGCTTAGGCACCAGCCACATACACCTGAGCTGGCAGGTTCGAATCCAGCCCGGGCCCACCAAACAACAATGACGGCTGCAACCAAAAATAGTCGGGGGCTGTGGCGGGCACCTGTAGTCCCAGCTACTTGGGAGGCGGAGGTAGGAGAATTGCTTGAGTCCAGGAGTTGGAGGTTGCTTTGAGCTGTGATGCCACAGCTCTCTACCTAGGGTGATAGCTTGAGGCTCTGTCTAAAAAAATAAAATAATAATACTGAGGAAATAGCTATATAAGTGATTAAAGTCATCCCCCAGTTCCCATCAATTTAATATACCTATTATTTATATACTTATGCCTTTTATAAAAATTTAAAATAGTTTTGGGAGGATGGGGGGAAATAAGATAAAATAAAATAATTTGATATTAGGTAGGTAATATGCCGACATCTTAACAAGGTTTGAAGGAGGCACATTTCACACATGAGTGTCAAAATCCAATCATCAACTTATGAATTACAAAAGGATCCATACCTTTTAAATTAGACTCTCTGAACTATGGATTACTTACACATTTAGATATACGATATATGCTTCAGAAAACATATAACTAAATTTCCATTTACTTCTCAAAAAATATATATAGCAACATCACATCAGTTTTCTATTACTTAATGTTACATCATTGTTTGTTTTTTCTATCTCCTCATTACTGTTATAATCATACTCTACACCTATATTTTACCTTAGATAATGTTCTCTGCTTCTGCTTCACAGTACACAATTGTTCCTTTGACACTTTTTTTTTTGAGACAGAGTCTTACTTTCTTGCTTCTGTAAGTGCCATATCACAGCTCATAGCAACCTCAAACTGTTGGGATTAAGCGATCCTCTTGCCTCAACCTTCTGAGTAGCTGGGACTACAAGTGCCCACCACAACACCCATTTATTTTTAGACATAAGGCCTCACTCTTCCTCAAGGTGGTCTCAAACTCCTGATCTCAAGTAAGTCACCCTCCTTGACCTCTCAGAGTGCTAGGATTACAAGCATAAGAACTACACCCAGCCTTCTTTAATACTTATTTTTAAAGAAATAGTTTATTTCTCTTGTAGTTACTTAAACCTTTAGGAATAATGTTTTTTTTTTTTATCAAAAAGTAGAGAAAAGGCCAGGCTTGGTGACTTACACTTGTAAACTGAGCACTTTGGAAGGCTGAGATGGGTGAACCATTTGAACTCAGGAGTTCAGAGACCAGTCTCAACATAGAGCAAGACCAGGTCTCTAAAAATAGCCAGCATTGTGGTGGGCACCTTTAGTCCCATCTGGAGGATGAGACAAGAGAATTACTTGAGCCCAACAGTTTGAGGTTGCTGTGAGCTATGATGCCATGGCACACTACCAAGGGCAACGTAGTGAGATTCTGTCTCAAAGACAAACAAACAAACAAACAAAAAAAAAAACAAAGTAGAAACACAGCCTTTTACAGTAAGATAGTATGTGATTTATTCTTTTGAAGACTTTTTTTCAATAAGGTTCTTCTGTAATAGGATGGTGCCAAAGTTTAGGTTTGTTGGGATTATTTTCTAGCAGCCAATCAGCTAACCACACCTACGGAAAAAAGAAAAACACCCATAAGTTAAAAATGTTTAACTTTATTTCTTTCTTTTTTTTTTTTTTT